GGACAGCCACAGCCGCTCAGGCCCCGCCCGTGCCCTCTGAGCACTGGGGCTCAGCAGTGCCAGGACAGAGGTCCCGCCTTGTAGTGCCACCTAGAGGAGGTAGGGGAAGAGAGGAGGTTTTGGGGGGCTGTGGCAGGAAAGTGGGCGTGTGGGGAAGTGATAGAAACAAGGACTGCATGTAACGAGGTCAAGGTCAGTACATGCAGAAGCCCTGGGTGCAAGTGGAGCCTCACAGAGACCTGCCCACTGCGGGAAGGGAAGAGCTGGAGGGTGAGCAGGAATGCGGGGATGGGTGGCTGCGGAGGACAAAGAGCTGGTGTAGCGCCAGAGCATGCGCCCCACCTCATTGTGGGTGGGCGACAGCACCCTGAATCCCCTCCCCTCTGGGCCTGCCCAACTGGGTAGGCCCTGTCTGAGGGGCCTGGCCTCCTCTTCTCTCCCCACAGGAGACCAAGGGCAGGGTGGCCATGTACGTGGCTCTCTAGGAAACTCAGCTGGTCCAAGAAGTGCAGCACTTCCTCATCCACAACAGCGTCAGCCTGGACTCTTTCAGCCAGGTGGGTGCCCGCTGCCCCGCTGTCCCCACCTCTGGGGAGTCGACTGCTGCTGCTCCAGAGCTGTGGACGGCCCAGGGGAAGCTGGGGGTGTGGGCGGGTCCTGTGGTTACTAGATCCAAACCCAGGGCTCAACTTCAGAGTCGCCCCTCCCAAGGACAGGGACAGCCAGCTCCTGGGGCGGTGGCTGCTCCTGGGGGCATGGGCTCCTTCCTGCTTCTGCTTCCCATGCCAGGTCCACAGTGCCAGGGAGAGCCCTCCGCGCTGAGGTGCCGATCTCGATTACTGCCCAGCGCCAGGGCACCTCCCTGGGAGATCCAGTGGGGCAGTGGTCAGTCACTGTCAGGATCTGGTGACTCAGCTGGGACTGGGATTCGATCCTGGGGTTCTCACCCGGTGCCCTGGGCCTTCGCCCTCAGCGGAGCTGGATGTTGGCTGTGGAGCCAGCGGGTGGCGCCTCTTGGGTCCTCCCAGGTGCCTGGCCACTGAGCCCCCAGGGGCGCACCTTGACTAGAGGCCACCAGGTCAGTACCAGTGTCCAGCTGAAAAGTCCTGCTGCCGTCCCTCACGTGGCCTCTCCTCCCTGTAGGCGACAGCAGAACGAAGCAAGACTGTGATTCTGGCCAAGAACCTCCCAGCAGGCACCCTGGCGGCCGAGCTGCAGGAGACCTTCGGCCATTTCAGAAGCCTGGACTGCGTGCTGCTGCCCGAGGGTGACGTCACTGCCATCGTGGAGTTCCTGGAACCCCTAGAGGCCCACAAGGCCTTCCGATACCTGGTCTATTCCAAGGTAGGCCGCTGGGAGCTGCTGTGGGGAGAGGGCCCGGGAGCTGGTGTGCCCATTGCCCAGCATGGGTTCAGCCTGGCTCCACCTTGGTGCTGGCCCCCGCCCCTCCCTGAGGATGCTGCAGGAAGCACCCTCGTCCCCTGCCCAGCTCCGGCGACTGTCCTTTGCCTTCCTTTCCTGCCCCAACTTGGGTCTCCCTGGTTGACTGTGGCGCCATCCGTGCCTGTGGTGAGCTGCAGCCAGTCTTGTGTGCAGGGCCGTCCCTGTATGCACACACGTGTATCTGCAGCACAGGGGCCTCTGGGGCTCCATGACAGGTGGCCATGAGCCAGGTGGACTAAGACCACACAGTGCACCTGTCGCAGAGCTGGCAGGCAGGCAGGTGTCCAAGAGCAAGGTGTGGCTAGGGCTTCTAAGGGCTCTGGGGAGGACCTGTCCTGCCTTTGCCCACTGCCGGGCTCCCGGCATCCGTCAGCTCCCTGCACCACTCCCGTTCGTGCCCTGTCTTTACGTGGCCTTCTTCTTGGTCCCAGATCCCTCTCTTGGGCTTACAGCCCACCCAGATAACCCTGGACCATCTCGGGTCTTGATAGTACTTGCAGGGGATGCACTGATAGGTCTTGGGGGTCTAGATGGCCATCTCTTGGGGAGCCACCTTTCACCCACCACAGGTCATTTGTCTGCTAGGCCCCTTGGTGCTTTGCAGGCCGTGGTCCCCAGTCACCCGCAGGTAGGCCTTCCTGGACCCTCCAGCCCTGGGGGGTTCCCAGCTGGGGCCCTGCCCATTGCACCATCAGGGCTTGGTGAGAGCCTGGCCTTTGAGACCGCGGTGTCTCTGGTGACCTGGCCAGGAGCCGTGTCTGGACTGCAGCCGCCCCTGCCTTCCCCGCTGCTTCAGGAAGGAGTCCCCATCACCAGAGTGGATGATGGCGAAGGCACGTCCGGGCGCAGCCTCCCCTTTGACTCTGACAAGTGTTTTCTTCACTGACCGCTCCCGTCAGCAGCCTCGACTGAGGTCCAGGGACCCGAAGCCACACAGCTCCTAAGTGGCCGCCAACTGTCAGACCCCCAGGCTGCTCCCTCTCCCTCCCGAGCATATTTTTTTTCTTTTTCTTTTTTCTTTTTATACCAAGAATTGAACCAGGGGTGTTTGTCCACTGAACTACGTCCCCAGCCCTTATTTATATTTTATTTTGAGACAGGGTCTCACTAAGTTGTTTAAGGCCCCACCAAGTTGCAGAGGCTGGTCGCGAACTTGCTAACCTCAAACTTGCTGTCCTCCTGCCTCAGCCTCCCAAGCCACTGGGATTACAGG